ATGGGATTAAGCTCCTCTCTGATTAAGGACATTCATCCCACAGAGTGTCTGGGCTTAAAAGACTTCCAATGCGGCACCTAGCTGTCTGGGGGAGGGGGACACACTGAACTCTAATCTGATCCTGTCAGGTATAAATTCTGTGTGCTTCCTTCAATAAAGCAGATCTTGGTTTCCACCTCAACATTGGTGTTGTCTAATGCTTGAGTGGTTAAGCGTTCTGTCCTAATATGTTGGTTCTGTCCAATAATTAGGCAAGTTTGGGCTGAGGACACTGGGATTCGGGTTCCAGCAGAGAGGAAGCTGTTTTCTGACGGGTGGTACCCAGTCGGGGTACCAGGCGGTCCGTCACAACATGTAAATGCTGTTTGCTGGCTATCATGTTTGTTCCATGTCAGTGTTTAAAACTCTTGCCAAAGTAGGGAGACAAATTTAAATCGCAACAGTTCTGGCTCAATAACTAATCCAGAGATGACTTGGTAATTGGCATTTCCAGGATTCCATCTTCCAAGTGCCCTCATGATGGGTCTAAAGTTTGACTCACTTTTTTTTTTTTTTCTGCAGATGAGGAATCAGAGGTGACCAATGTACAGCTCCTGGGCCCCATTTGGATCATTGACCCCAAGAGTGTTCTCAATCCTGAGGTTGAACAGGCTCTTGCAGTGCATGCAGCTGAATCGGAGCAAGAAGTGAAGCCCTGGATGGTGGCAGCTGTGGGAGGCCTGTGGGTGGTTGTAGTGATGGGGGCTGTGCTAACCTGGAAACTCAGATCAAGAAAATGTAATGTGACCACAATTCAGCAATAAAAACTCTTTTGCATAAGAGGTTTCCTTGAGTATAGTTCTTAGTTGCTGGTTCTTGTGGTAGAAATGCGACATGCTAGGTCTGCAGGTATCCTCTCTACAGGAGTTGTCCTGTAGAGCATGTGTGCCACACTTGCCAATGGCTACCACACTGGCTTTTGCTCTGTTAGCCCTCTGACTCTGTTCAGGATCTGCTGGCTGGGACTTATTTAAGGTGCTGAATCCAGGCATGTGTCTGCTATGCATGCAGTGTCTAATCTAGAACAAGCCCAGCAGCCTTGAGAAACCTACTATGCATGTGATCGGGTTAGTGATGGTAGAGCATTTCCCGTCAGGTTCTCTGAATGCCATGTTTCTACACTTTTTCAAGGTGTTGGGTAGCAACTGAAAGATTTCCCCCTTGCTTCCGGTTAATAACATTTTGGATTTTCTTGCAACTTGCAGTGGTCACCAAGCCAGAGGGGATAGATCTCCCCCATAGGGACACATACTGACAATGGTCACCATGACAGAGGGTGGATCTCCCCAGAGTGGACAGATTGCAAATATTTGGAAAAAAAAGCACATTGGAAGAGGGTGCTCTGGATGTAGGTACACTATGGGCACAAATGTGGTCCATCAAGCTTTTCATATAACACTTGTGTCGTATGCTGAGGGTTTGTGGAAACTTATGCTGCAGGGTTTCCAAAATGGGGTCCTGTTTCTACCACTAAAACATCAGGCCTTTTGAAGTGGTCGACAGTGTTGATGGAGACTTAGCTTGTGCAACGAGCAGGCCTGGGATCTCTTCCTGACTGGCCTTATGCAAAGTACCAAAGGCCAGACTATGATGGTGTACCTACTGAGCGTACTTTGGCTGTGCAGCTCAGGAGGGAGCTACAAGTTCAAGCAGAATAGTATTTGTCTCAGTGACTAGAGATGAGTGGATAATGGAAAATCCCCCAAGTGGAGTAAAAAGTGGTTCAGAGTTCATCCACTAGTTTATAGAGTGGCTGTGCTCTAAAGCTGTGGTTCCCAACTGGTAGGTCATCATGTGCTTTCCACTGTGGTAGGTGAAAGGTTACTCAGCATCCTGTACCGAGCAGCCATTCAAAATATTCTGCCTGGCTCCGAATGTCAGGTTAAGGTGGGGTGGGATGGAGGTATGGCCGCGAGGAAGCTCCATCCATGCGTGCATTGCTTACAACTCCCTCCCACATTCTGGCACCTACAGGGTGCGCAAGGGAACTATACAAGCAATGCACATATGGATGGAGCTCTGTCACAGCAGCCCACACTGGACCCCCGGCTGAGGATCCACTCCAGTTCTCGTAAGGTAGGGAGACTAAATCTTGAAAGAGAGGAAGAAAAAACAAATTCCTGACCCGTAAGCCCCAGTGAGTTAAAAGATATTTCCACTGGTTCTCAAAAGGGGTGGCCAGAGGTCATTCAGGTGCTCCAAGGGAATATGAAAGGCACATATACTCTGCTAATGAACTGGTATGTGATACCTCAAACTGTCTCATCTAGTCTTGGTTAAAGGTATTAATCACTTCCCTGTGAATCGTCATTGTGGGGTGGATCTGTTCATCCCTAGTTCTTTGGCATGTGCTGAGCTGCAATAAGGTCCCGTGCTCTGGATAGATGGCACCCAATGAGATGGCTATTCGAGAGTCGTTTGCAAGCAAGCTGGATATGAGTTAAGAGATGTGGTGACTTGTCCGGTCCCCTAAAGTTGGCCCTATGTAAGGGCCCAACCTGGCTGCCTGGAGACATTTCTGCCAGCTGTATCCTCTCCTAATTTTCTTTGTTCTCCATACAGTGCCCCATATTCTACCCATGGCTGTATGAGCGATGTACACGGGGGGGGGGGGTGCTCCCATCATGTGCCTTTATCCCTCTTACATCACACATTTTATTCTGGTTTGCGGCTGCTACCTGGCATTTCATTCATACCCCTTCATTGTAACCAGCAATCCTAAAACTACAATAATAGATTGGGGGTGAGTGGCCATCTTGGTGATGGACGTCGACAGAGAGGAGGGGGACGTTCCCCCGGCGGGATAAGGTATGCTGCCGGGTCTCCTCCTCTCTCCTGCAACTGTCGGGCTCTCTGTCTATGACTGTCAGTCATTTTGGTGTCACCCGGGTGTGGGCCGCACCACCCGCACACCCCCTTGTGACCGCTACTGGCTCCAGCTCTCGCCGCTGTCCTTGGCATTCCTGAGTTAAAGGAGAGCTATGGGGTCAGGGCTTTTCCCCATAGTTCTCCTTAGGGTGACGGGAGGACACAAACTAGCGTCCTCCCGTTACCCTAAGCTCAGTATACCGCGAGCTACAGCTTGTGGTATACTGAGACGCCGCAGCTGAAGCGGATCCCGACATCGATGTCGAGATCCGCCCAGCTGCGTGAGTGACAGCTGGCTCTGCCTATCTAGAGGAAGAGCCAGCTGTACCTGCCCCCTCCCCCGTCGGTTCCTTCAGTCAGCGCTGGCGGATCGGAGCGGGGGGGAATCCAGCCCCTCCCCTGTCACGGCAGAGAGCCATGAAAGGATCGGGAGGTGAGCGAACGCCGGTATGTGTTCGCTCACCTCACGATTTACTGAGCCGACCTGTGACGGTCTCATTGTCACAGGTCGGCTAGAACTATGAGGAGTGGAAATCACTCATCTCATAGTTCTCCTTTAGGGTGATGACAGCTGAGTGTGCAGAGGTGTCCGTCTGTCATATCTGAGACATCTGCACTTAGTAAGCCCAATAATATTAATTTGCCATTTTTCCCAATTCTCTCTACGTGAACTCCCACGTTATCCTCAGGCTGGAAACCTCATCGTAGGTGTAGCCCGCTCCTTTGCTGACCCTACATTCTGACTTAAATGGGGACAGAAGGCACTATAATGAAATGGACTGGTGAACACAGCACATCAAAACGCACAGCACATTCCCGCCTGTCAGTGAGATAAAAGGCGGGTGCGTGCGTCACATTTTACAGTATATTTGCGTTGAGATGACATTTGGAATAAACGGAAATGCAAATATTACGTGTGTTGCAATGGGGTGCGTTAATCTGCAAAGGCCCAAACCCATATGCAAGGCACAGGTGCTTTAGTGCATCGCCGCACATTGTGTTCAATGGCCCCTTCATTTTAAACATACTATAAACACAAGCAAAAACAGGCCCTGCTCTATTTTTCAAAACACAACGTAGTGTAATGCAAAGGGGAAAACACATTCGTGCGTCACGCTGTAGCGCAGGCGTACTGCAGCACCCTCTATACATACGTTGGGGGTGCAATTAACAATGAATAGCAATGCACTGCAATACACATATAAAGGGCCTGCCATGCTTTATCGCAACGAATATTACATTGCACCTTTGCGGTCCATTGCATTGCATAACTCCTATAATGTAAGCTCTCAGGGGCAGGACGCTCCTTACCATCTCGTCTTGAATTGTATTGTGATTGTAATGTCTTCCTTATATAATAAAGCTCTGTGCAAACTGTTGGCGCTATATAAATCCTGTATAATAATAGTAATACCATAAGTGGCGGTATTTTTGCTCTCAGCCGCTACCATAGACAGGAAGTGGCCGCCATAGTAGAGTCTGGCGGCCAAACTCCCAGAGACCATTACATTTACATGCGGTATCTCGCTCATAACTGTGTGTCGTCTCAAGGCAGCCCATTCAATCATTAACGCGCCTCAATGGCCAAAAAAAAAACCCAGCCACGGCCCATTTTTGTAATGCAGCGCACCACAGGCATTTCAGGTGCCATTCTAAATAAATTCTGCCCCACGTTGCCTGTGGTAACGCAGCGGAAATTGCACAATTTCACCATACGTCACTGCAACGCATAGGTGTGAATGAGGCCCTTAAGGATGCAGCAGTTTGGTGCTGTCCCCTTTAAGTGCCTGCTGAGGAGAGTTGCAGGAAATTAGGACAGCTGGGGCAGATTGCTGTCAGTGGAGGGGGCGGTCAGGGTTCATCTGCACCAGGTGGGGTAATTGCTGCAGGAGATATAAATTCTCATAGGGCTGGATAGAGTTCATGTTGCTCTTCTGGTCACAATGGGTTGGAGGTGGCTCAGTGGTCTTGTTGGGGTGCTCATGGCCTGTGATCTTGTCCTATGCCAGTATCCCTGGTACCGCCAGCAGCCAGAATCTCTACGGCGGGGTCCCTACCAGCCTGGATGGGGTTCTGCCCGAGGACTTCCTGAGCTGTCTAGGCAGATGCCCAGTCCTTCCTTGAGGACCGTCAGTGTTGTGTGTCTGGAGGACAAGATGGTGGTGACCATTCTGAAGGATCTGTTTGGGATTGGGAAACTGGTCAAGGCGTCTGACCTCACCCTGGGCACCGCTCAGTGCACACCATCCTCTGAGGACAAGGACACCGTGGTCTTCCAGATCAACCTGCAGGACTGCGGGAATGTGGTTCAGGTCAGTCAGCTGATGCAACATGGATGGTTACCCTGTAGTCTTAAGTCTCACCATGCATGTTACAACCTGATCATACAATCTCTGCCCCACTGACCACATAATCTCTGTACAATGACTCTAGTGCTACCAAAACTATGTAATGAGGACCTACCTTAACCATCAGACAGGCCCTTCTACATATTACTTGGTACATCCAAAGGCGATTGTAAAATCAGATTGTAGTGTGTTGCAGTCTGATTGCACAGCTTTTAAATCTGCCAACAAATTTGTATCCAGGCAGGTTCTTGCACTACAAATAAGCTAAACTAGGCAGGACATCATAGTGCACAACAGCTGCATCTCTGGCTTTATACCCAATCAGGCTCTTCTGCTACATGCTCATTGGTAGACCTAAAGATTGTACAATCAAATTGTAACGTGTGCTGAGCTCATCTACTATACAGTGAGGTTGTATCAGATTGGCTATAAAACTAATAGCTTGCTCAGGAAGGTCATTGCACTAAGGAGATTGTATAGATTGCAGTGTGTGTGGTGAGCTATAAGGGCCTACCTCAATAAGACAAACCCTTGCCCTCCTATATGTTGGTAGACCTAACTTTGTCCAACTACATTGTAACATGTATGCTGAGCTCTAGGCGTCTCTACTATGCAGTGAGGGTGTATCTGACTGGCTATAGATGGAATGGGTTAATAGTCTGATCATCACATTACATATCGGCTGGTAAATCTGAAGGGGATTGTACAACCAGATTGCAATTTGCATCACCATCATGGAGTGCTACAATCTCCTTTTGGAATATGAGTATTAAATCTTGAGGCCCCTCTAAAAGCCATGTAACTCGTATTTAACCAGGCAGGACCTTCGAGCACAGGACAAGGCAACTTTGGCACTCCAGCTGTGCTAAAACTGCAAATCCTGTCATGCCCGTGGCTGCCAGTCTTGCAATGTCTCATGGGACTTGTAGTTCCACAACAACTGGAGTGCAAAGGTTGCATACTCTCTGGTCTAGTACACGATAGTTGGATGTATGTGGAATTACACTGAGGTGAGTGGTTTCACTTCCTGTCCTGTAGATTCAACGGGAAGTGATGCCATCATTCCAATATGAGGAATATCCCTTTAAAGACAGCTGTCACACAAGAATGTGTCCTCTTCGGCAGATTCCCCTCTATTGCAGGTCTTCTGGCAACTCACAATTTAGGACTTGCCTTCACTTTTATTCCTGGGTGGTTATTTGGCTTTTATGACTTGGGGGACTTGTGGAAGTCAGTAGATAGAAGGGGACATTTGTTGCGCTCTTCTGATAGAGGGGATCCTCGTTAGTGACCTATGTGAGAGGGGTTTCATCCTTCCTTGCTGTGTCTTCTGGGACGGGAAGAGGCTGGAAGTTCTAACTCTTCACGCCATCCAAAAAGTTTTGCCTGGGCTTGTGTCCCGGCTGGTCACCCTGTCATTTATATTTCAGGACTTTAGAGCAAAGACACTTGCAGTTCAAATGTATCACTCCGTTTGTGTGCTAATAGCATAAATTGAAGTGCCATGGTGGCAGCAGGGAGGTGGACCTGGGAACTAGGATGAGGGACCAGCTACATAGACCACTTTATATCTAGACTATCTTTAGGTAGTGCCTACTGTAAATTGTTGGGGAGTGTTGAGGAGTTCCCTCTTGGGCCTCAGTGAAATGAGGATTCTGTCTCTTGCAGATGAACACTGACTTCCTCCTCTATACTACAAGCGTTGCCTACAAGCCATCTCCATCCAGGAACGTCCCAATCACCCGAACCAACAGTGCCAACATTGGTGTTCAGTGCTACTACCCCCGGTAAGTCTCCTACTCGGGCCAATTCACAAAACGCATGCTTTAATTTTGCTTCAATTGTGGGGAACTGAATCATTTTACAAGTCTCACTGCCTAAAATATCAGCTACAAAGAAACTAATACAAGGCATGAAGGGTCATGGAGTATCCAATACTTGATCAGGCATGCAACCTGCAGCTTTTATATTACTATACTTATGGGATCACTTTCAATGGGATGCCTGGTTGTTCCAACTGTTCCATCACTATGATGGAGTAAATTCCTATTTTAGTTGGATAAAATGGGTGAAATGCGTAGTTGCCATGTGCCTCCAGCTGGTGGTGGCCACCAAGCAAATCTGGCATCTTCTGCAGCCATTGTAAATGCTCCAGGTCCACCTTCTCTTAATGGGATTCTTTGTTGCAGGTAGTGTCAGGCTGCTCTGTTACACAAGCATGCTTTCCAAACTTGAGTCATGGGTGGTCCATTGGTATTTTGGTAAAACTCTATTTCTTTATCTGTTTTAGGCACGGCAATGTCAGCAGCAATGCAATCAGACCAACATGGATTCCCTACAGCACCACCGTAACCATGAAGGAGAGGTTATCCTTTGCACTCTATCTGATGAATGGTAGTATTTCTATTAATATTTTTCTAGACTAAACACTAAACTGTAAATCCAGTATAAGCTGTTGTCTTTGAGTTATGGATCCCTCAATCAGTCACCCTGATCCCTTCTGGAGGAGGCTTCTTGCATGTGGACTCCATGCAGGATACAATTTTTGATGTGTCAACACCCATTAGCATATTCTAGGCAAGCTAGTCTTAACCAGGAAAAGCTTCTACCCCAAACCTGGGGCTAGAAGGTGACACATTCTGGCTTCTTACATGGTTGCCTGTTAATTTTTAGTAGCTTTGCATACACCTGGCTTTCATTAAGACTTGGCTACTGAACTAGTTTAACATTTGATCACATGATGCAGGGTGGATACACCAGCCACTTGACAGATAAATGTAGCTTTGACTATGACTGAGACAGCAGCATTTGTTCAGATGGCATCTGTTGGCACGGCATAAGTATATCCTCAATTACATTTCCAGGACCTTTGCTGTCTTCTATATGTCCCCAGTAATCCAGCTTGACCATCCTGTAGACCTAACTTGGTAGGTAAGATTGTTTTTAACTTCTCACCTAACATGGAGGTGTCTTTGTCTCTTGCAGAGGACTGGAGGTCAGAGTGCATCTACAATCTTCACTCTTGGTAGCTCCTTGAAAATTGAGGCCTCTGTCAATGTGGAGAACCACATGCCGATGAGGATCTTTGTGGACAGCTGTGTGGCACTGCTAGCTCCGGACCCCAATTCCACCCCTCAATATGAACTCATTAAAAATTATGGGTAAATATATTGTGTTCTGTGTTGGGATATTTCTAGGTCCAACTCTTGCATCTGCTTTTTACACTTCTGGGTTTCTGCAGGTCCAAAAGACCTTGGCAAAAAAGCTTCCAAAAGAGGGTTGGGAACATCTGGGGGGCTCTAGCTGTGGCCCTGAGCCTCAATATAGTCCCAGTGTATTGTGGTGCCTCACTCTTAAAACAGTTTTTCCAACCCTCTAGGTGCCTGGTGGATGGGCAGCAAGAAGATTCCTCCTCCACCTTCATATCACAGAGACCAGAGCCAAACAGACTGCGCTTAAATGGTGCACCTGTAGATTATGGAAGCTGCCACTTCTGTTATGTAAATGCTGTTTACTGGCTATCATGGTCGGTGATTCAAAACTCTGACAAAGTAGGAATGCTAAAATGTATTTTATTCACAACAGTTCAGGCTTAATTTGACAAAGCCAGAGATGACTTGGTAATTGGCATTCCCAGGATTCAATTTTCCCAAGTGCTCTCATGATGCTCTAAAGGTTTAACTGAACTCTCTTCTTTCTGCAGATGAGGAATCGGAGGAATCGGAGGTGACCAATGTACAGCTCCTGGGCCCCATTTGGATCATTGACCCCAAGAGTGTTCTCAATTCTGAGGGTGAACAGGCTCTTGCAGTGCATGCAGCTGAATCAGAACAAGAATTGAAGCCCTGGATGGTGGCAGCTGTGGGAGGCCTGTGGGTGGTTGTAGTGATGGGGGCTGTGCTAACCTGGAAACTCAGATCAAGAAAATGTAATGTGACCACAATTCAGCAATAAACTTGTTTTTGCATAAGAGGTTTCCTTGTGTGTAGTTTACTTGCTGGTCCTTGTGATGGAAATGCAACAACATGCTAGGTCACCAGGTATCCTCTCTACCAGGGGCTGACTGGCAAATTTGAGCCCAGGGGGCAAGTACAACCCAGAGGCCCATGGTGCAGCAACTTGGCCCCCCTCCCGCTCTGCCTCTTCCCCCGCCCCTGTCTTCCACTTTTGCCATCCATGTAACAGTAGTGTGAATGGTCGGGAGATGTGAGGACTCCTAGTAAGTTCATGAATGGGGTGACTGGCTAGGGAATGGTGCTCTCCTCCCACTGGGCTCCCTACATAGTTCTGGCCTTACTCCGCTCCATGTCTACTACTTAGGCACTCTCGCCCACTGTAGACCGCCGCTGGCTGTCCACGTTTCTGGGCTGTGAGCGGGGCCGGACAGTGTCAAAGTCAGTGTTCTATAATTCTCGATCCTATACATTTTCTCGACTGTCACTTCCAGTGGGGCCGAGTCATCCGAATCAGCTGTTTTCATGACCCCTTTCTTCATGGCATGTGCACCTGGAAGAGACGCGGTAGATAAATTTATGGGTTGAGGAAAATGATAGGTAGTAGAGGGATGCCTCGTCAGTGCTGTGCGCGTGTACGACTGCTGCGACCCTGGTAGTTCTGCCACTAACTCCAAGCTGTAGATGGACTGCAAATCTCAGCACATTATACAGCAATGCAGAATAATACCACCAGCTGTAGTGGACTATAAATCTCAGAAATACATTGTACAGCATTGCAGAATGGCATTTGCTATAGAGAACTACAATTCCAAGCAATACATTACACAATAATGCAGAATACCATCAGCTATAGAGGACTATAAATCCCAGCAATACCATTATACAGCAATGCAGAACGGCATCAGCTATAGACAATGATATGAAGCTACATACTCTGTTGCTCTGGGTTTTCCGCCTGATGTCTCCAGGGTCTCAGGAGGGTTGTGCGGGCTCTCACCAGGGGTCCAGAGAGTTCCAAGGGTGCGTGTGGGTGCAGCAGAAGCGGCTCACTAATTAGGCTCTTAGGTGGCCAATGCGGACTGTCATGTGGTCAGTGCGGGCTCTCTGCTGGTCAGTGCGGGATCTGTGGGGGCTCCCTAATCAGTGGTAGCTCCCAGGTGGTTAGTGGGGGATCCCTGGTGTAGGGATTTATCTAGAGCTAATGATTATTTTCAAAATCGATTAGTTAGCCGATTAAGTTCAATTAACCGGTTAATCAGGATTTTAAAAAATGGCTCCAGTGATGGACTACTAGTTTGTATTGAGATTGTAGTCCATCACAGGAGCAAGCTTGGAGCGGTGGAAGAAAAAAATAGTGTGGTGTGCAATATAGTGAAATGGAAAGTGTAAAATTATACAACAATCAATGCAGAATAGCACCGGCTATAGAGGACTACAAATCCCAGCAATAGTACATTATACAGCGCAATGCGGAATACCTCCAGCAATAGTACATTATAGCTGGCGGTATTCTGCGTTGCGCTGTATAATGTACAATTGCTGAGATTTGTTGTAGTCCTCCATAGCTGGTGGTATTCTGCATTGCGCTGTATAATATATTTATTGCTGGGTTTTGTAGTCCTCTCTACAGACCACTGCAGAATACCACCAGCTACAGAGGAGTACAACAAATCCCGGCTTTGTATTCCCATGTATAATATACAGCACAATGTACCATCGGCTATAGAGGAATACAAATCCCAGCAATACATTATAGAGCACCATGTGGGGGGGAGGGAAGTGCAGGCTTACCTGAGCAGTCTTCCAGCAACTTCTTGCTTCTGAGATCGGGCCTGTCTGTCGGCGGCTGTCATCCCCTAAGCCTGCTCCTCCTTACTTCTTCTCCCAGCGTCCCTGGGCCGATCGTGGATGCGGGCGGTGAGTGTGAGGAGGTGCGGCGTGGATGCAGGTGGGCGGGTCTGGCAGTGGCAAGCGTGAGGCGGGGAGGAGGTGCGGCGTGTGGAGCGTGGATGCAGGCGGGTGGGTCTAAAAGTGGCAAGCGTGAGGAGGTGCGGCGTGTGGATGCTGGCGGGCGAGTCTAGCAGCGGCAAGCGTGAGGAGGTGCGGCGTGTGGAGCGTGGATGCATGCGGGTGGGTCTAAAAGCAGCAAGCGTGAGGCAGGAGCTGCGGCGTGTGGAGCGTGGATGCAGGCGGGAGCACTAATTACATATGAATAAGCCGCGACTCATTCTCCCAAAAAAATATCCACGTGTCGCCAGAGTGTTCGGGTTTCGCTTGAAGAAAAGGTGGCAACCCTGACGGGCCCCCTGACGGCCGCGGGCAGCGGCCGTTTTTAAAGGGAGCAGAGAGGCCCGGGGGGCATTTGCCACCCTGCCCCCTGGGCCCAGTCCGCCCCTGCTCTCTACAGGAGTTGTCAATGTTTGCCACACTTGCCAATGGCTACCACACTGGCTTTTTGCTCTGTTAGCCCTCTGACTCTGTTCAGGTTCTGCTGGCTGGGATTTATTTAAGGTGCAGACTCCAGGCATGTGTCTCTGCTATGCATGCAGTGTCTAATCTAGAACAAGCCCAGCAGCCTTGAGAAACCCACAATGCATGAGCTTGGGTTAGTAATGGTAGAGCATTTCCCGTCAGGTTCTCTGAATGCCATGTTTCTACATTTTATCAAAGGTGTTGGGTAGCAAACATTTGGAACTGGTCTACTCAAATCTTCTGGAGGCTTCGCTCAGTGGAAAAAAGACCTGCCAACATTTCCAATTGATTGTGTTGCAGTGCTGTTCAGATGTCTCAGGGCTGATGAAGAGGTTGTTGCTTTTGAGGTTAATTTGGAAAAACAACACCAGCTCCAGTGTGTTCTGGCCCGATTTAGTACTGAATCACATCTCGGCCAGCTCACTGCGTTCTGGGGTGGGAGGGGGCGTGATGGTGCTTTAAAGTCAATTGCATTTCCAATCGGTTGTTTAGCAGTGCTGTTCAGATGTCTCGGGGCTGATGAAGAGGTTGTTGCTTTTGAGGTTAATTTGGCGGCTCGATTGGTAAACGCTTATGATCTGGCCCCTTTATAAGGTCAGCAGTGTAGTCATACAGGCATTAACAGCAGCTGGCGACAACTGATGATCCAGTTGTGGTCTGAGGTCCATCATTCCAGATTTTCTCTGTTAGAGGGTATCTATGGTCAAAAACTAAAAAGAAATATGTACATCTATATTGAATTTCCATACATTCTATCGCACTCCTAATAACCGCATCCATCTAGAGGTCTGTAAATGTACTTATTGAAGATGTCCATAGGATGTACTTCCTCAACCCACTGACACGTTTTCACTCAGCCCTGTGAATATGCCCTTCTTGGTGTCACCACTCTAAGCCTGCCGTCTGAACAATGTAACATTATCATTGCCTGCTGGAAGCAATGCATGATGGGTTATGTAGTCTTGGGAAATGTAAACTGCATCACATCAAGCAGCAGGGAAGGAGACACAAAGCACACTGGGAATCCAGGAAGTGATGGGCAGACGGAAGGCAGCACTCACTACATAAAAGGGATTTTTCAAGTGAGCTTTGATTGCAATATGAAAAACAACTCCAATATGTATTCCTATTACAATGCTGATATTATACCAGCACATTCCCGCCTGTCAGTCAGGTAAAAGGCGGGTACGTGCGTCACTTTTCACAGTATACTTGCATTGGGATGACATTTGGAATGAACAGAAATGCAAATATTACGTGTGTTGCAATGGGGTGCGTTCACGTGCATTGGACCGAATCCAGCTTTAGGACTCATTTGCAAGGCACAGGTGCTTTAGTGCGTTGCGCTTTCATGCATCACGGCACATTGCGTTCAATGGCCCCTTCATTTTAACTACCTCCGGGCCGGCCGTAGTAAAAAAACGGCCGGCCAGGAGCTCTCTCGAAACAACACTATAAACGCAAGCAAAAACAAGCCCTGCTCTGTTTTTCAAAATGCACTGAAGAGCAATGCACATTTGTGCGTCATGCTGTAGCGCATATACCAGGCCTGCCATGCTTTATCGCAGCGTGTAATACATTGCACCTTTGCGGTCCATTGCAGCTCATTAAAATAACTCTTAGGCTGGGCACACACCTTACAACCATCGCAAGACTTTTGTCTTGCGATGGTTGTAAGGTACTTAAAAAAACGTACGATCTGCCTATGTTGCATAGGCAGATCGTACTTGCGATGATCACAAGCCACGCCCCCTGAGGGGCGGGCTTCCGATGACCGCAATGCCGAACCGGCAGTGTGCGCTTGCGCACACCGGCCCGTACGGCTTTTATCGTACGGACATGCCACAAACCCTACAGTAGTAGAGGTCGCACGGCTTCTACACACCTTACGATCATCGTACGATCCCGGGATTTCCCGCGATTATCGTACGATAATCGTAAGGTGTGTGGGGACCCTTAGAGTGTAAGCTCTCATGGGCAGGGCCCTCCTCACCATCTCGTCTCGAATTGTATTGTGATTGTAATGTCTTCCGTTTGTTATAAAGCGCTGTGCAAACGGTTGGCGCTATATAAATCCTGTATAATAATAATAATTAACATAAGTGGCGGTATTCTTTGCCCACTAGAGTATCGCTCTCAGCCGCTACCATAGACAGGAAGTGTCCGCCATAGTAGAGTCTGGCGGCCAAACTCTCAGAGACCATAAGCGTTAACATGCGGTATCTTGCGCATCTTAAGGCAGCCCATTCCATCATTAACGCACCTCAATAGCCAAAAGAAAACCAGCAGCGGCCCTTTTTTGCAATGCAGCGCATCACAGCCCATGGTGTGCGCATTGTTGCGCCCTGCCCATAACAAGCATTTCGGGTGCCATTCTAAATAAATTCTACCCCACGAAATGCTGCCTGTGGTAATGCAGGCAAAATGCACATTTCCCCATACGTCACTGCAACACATAGGTGGGAATGGGGCCCTTAAGGTTGCAGAAGTTTGGTGCTGTCCCCTTTAAGTGCCTAATGTGGTGAGCTATGAGGACCTACCTCAATAAGACAAACCCTTGCCCTGTATATGTTGGTATACCCAACTTTGTCCAACTACATTGTAACATGTATGCTGAGCTCTAGGCGTCTCTACTATGCAGCGAGGGTGTATCTGACTGGCTATGGATTAAGTCTGGTCATCACACTGCATATTGGTTGGTAAATCTGAAGGGGGTTGTACAACCAGATTGCAATGTGTATTACCATCATGGAGGATATGCTACAATCTCCTTTGGAAATATGAGTAATAAATCTTGGAGCCTTCTAAAAGCCATTTAACTTGTATTTACTTCTAGCACCGGGCTAGTAAACCTTGGCACTCAATGCTGTGCAAAAACTGCAAATCCTATCATGCCTGTGGCTGCCAGTTTTCCAATGCCTCATGGGACTTGTAGTTCTAAAACAGCTGGAGTGCCAAGGTTGCATATCCCCTAATCTAGCACAAGATAGTTGGACATTCCACTGCGGTGAGTGTGGTTTCCCTTCACTGTAGATTCAACAGGAAGTGGGGCTATCTTTCCAATATGAGGCATATCACCTTGAAGACAGTTGTCACACAAGAACATGTCTCATTTAGAAGATTCTCCTCTATTGCAGGTCTGGCAATTCACAATGTTGGACTTGCCTCCACTTTCTTTCCTGGGTAATTTTCTTTATTTTTATGGCTGGGGATTCTTTTTTGCATTCAATAAGCCTGAACTTCTTCTAGTCTTGGATGGAGTGTGAAAGACTTCTGTCAGGTTTTTATTGCTGCCTTGGTCCCTGCTGGAGAGGGTTATTTGCTGTTGGGATAGAAAGTAATGGGAAACCTGTCATCAGACGGTGAAACCTTCCAAGGGGACACTTGTGAGGGAAGCCTTGTTAGTCACCAATATGAGAGGGGTTTCATCCTCCCTTGCTGTGTCTTCTGGGACAGGAAGAGACACGAAGTTCCATCTTTTCACTCCATCCAGAAGGTTTTGTCTGGACTTGTTGTGTCCAGGCTGGTCACCCTGTCCCTAATATTTCAGGACTTCAGATCAAAGACACTTGCAGTTCAATTGTATCGCTCAGTTTGTGCTAATAGAGTAAATTGAAGTAGAAGTGCCATGGTGGCAACAGGGAGGTGGACCTGGGAACTAGGATGAAGGACCAGCTACATGGAGCACTTTATAGCTAGACTGTATTTATGTAGTGCCTACTGTAAATTGTTTGGGGAGTGTTTGAGGAGTTCCCTCTTGGGCCTTGGTGAAATGAGAATTCTCTCTTGCAGATGAACACTGACTTCCTCCTCTATACTACAAGCGTTGCCTACAAGCCATCTCCATCCAGGAACGTCCCAATCACCCGAACCAACAGTGCCAACATTGGTGTTCAGTGCTATTACACCCGGTAAGTCTCCTACTCGGGCCAATTCATAAAACGCATGCTTTAATCATGTTAAGTGTCTGTAAAATGATTCAGTTCCCAAGTCTCTCACCGCCTAAAATCATGAGCGACAGAGGAACTAACTTGTACAAGGCATGAAAGGTCATGGAGTATCCAATGTTTGGTCTGGCATGGAACCTGCCGCTTTTAGATTACTATCCTTATGGGCTCACTTTTAATGGGGTGCCTGGTTGTTACAACTGTTCCATCACTGTATAATGGGGTATTTTTTTTCTATTTTGGCTGAATAAAATGGTTGAAATGCTTTTTTACCATGTGCCCACCTGCAGGTGATAGCCACAAAGCAAATCTGGCATCTTCTGCAACAGTTCTGAATGCTCCAGGTCTCTTAGCAATGGGAATATCTTGGTTGCAGGTAGTGCTAGGCTGTTCTACTACACAAGCATGCTTTCCAAACTTGAGTCATGGGTGGTCCATTGGTATTTTGGTCAAACTCTATTCTTATGTCTACTTCTGTTTTAGGCACAGCAATGTCAGCAGCAATGCAATCAGACCAACATGGATTCCCTACAGCACCACTGTAACAATGGAGGAGAGGCTGTCCTTTGCACTGTATCTGATGAATGGTAGTATTTCTATTGGTTCCTTCTCTAGGCTTTACACTAAACTGTAAATCCAGTATAAGCTGTTGTCTTTGGTTGAGGGATCCATAACTCAGTCAATTCCCCCACTCTTCTAGAGGGGCCGCTCTACATGTGGACCCTTTGCAGGATACAATCTTGGACTGTGTCAACATCCATTAGCACATTCTAGCCAAGCTAGTCTTAACCATGAAAAGCTCCTACCCCAACAACGGCACATTTGTCTGGGAGATAAATGCATGAAGGCGACATTCTGGCGGCTTAAATGGTTGCCTGTTAATTTTTAGTAGCTTTGCATACACCTGGCTTTCATTAAGACTTGGCTACTGAACTAGTTTAATATTTGATCACATGATGTAGGTTGGATACACCAGCCAGTTGGCAGACAAATGCCAACTGAGGCCATCTGAACAAAGGCTGTTGTATCTGTTGGCACAGTGTAAGCATATCCTCAATAAAAATGTTCTAAGCTGGGTTTTTCAGGATCCTTGCTGTCCCTTCCACTATGTCTCCATTAATCTAGCTTATCCATCCTGGAGAACTAAACTTGGTAGGTAAAAATTGTTGTCTTGAAACTTCTCACCTAACATGGAGGTGTCTGTCTCTTGCAGAGGACTGGAGTGGTCAGAGTGCATCTACAATCTTCACTCTTGGTAGCTCCTTGAAAATTGAGGCCTCTGTCAATGTGGAGAACCACATGCCGATGAGGATCTTTGTGGACAGCTGTGTGGCACTGCTAGCTCCGGACCCCAATTCCACCCCTCAATATGAACTCATTAAAAATTATGGGTAAATATATTGTGTTCTGTGTTGGGATATTTCTAGGTCCAACTCTTGCATCTGCTTTTTACACTTCCAGGTTTTAGCATGTCCAGAAAAGCTCCCAAAAGAGGGTTGTGAACACTGGGGTCTCAGGCTTTCACCTTGTATGGTCACTTATGTGTGTCTGAGCCTCCATATATTCCCAATGTGTAGTGGTGCCTCACTCTTAAACCCTTTTTCCAACCCTCTAGATGCCTGGTGGATGGGCAGCAAGAGGATTCCTCCTCCTCGTTCATATCACAGAGACCAGAGCCAAACAGACTGCACTTTGAGATTGATGCCTTCAGGTTTACAGATCACAACCAGCCCACGGTATGTAGCACTCTGTGTAATCCAATGGTGCCGAATGTGGCAATTGTGCTTAATGAATGTATTCCTTCTCAGATCTACATCTACTGTGAGTTGAAGGCCGTCCCACTCAACCAGGCCCCAGACCCAACTAACAAGGCCTGTTCCTTCAGCAAAACCAGCAACTCGTAAGTTACAAATGTCTTCTGTACAGAATGTATTTGTTAACCTGGTGTGTACAGCATGCGCTGTCTACTAAGCAAAACTTGTACAGGGAAACAAAATGCTACCTGCTGGACATGATGGTACAGACTAGCTTGCACAAGGTTGGGACAGCCTTGTAGTGATGCCAAGATGGAGGTGGAAATGGTAGCTCACTACTGAGCTAATGTTTCCTTTTCGAGGACTAACTGAACAATGATAAGGCCTATTGACTCCCATAGGCAGAGACGATTGGCAAATGGAAGCCAATGGCCTGTATGGACCCTTGGCCTTCTGCCCACAATGTGGGGGAGGGGGGGGGGGAGAACATCTTGTCTGCTCAGGTCCCTTTAGGGGAGATCACTTTCACTGCCTGTCCTGGAGACACAACAGGGGAACTTTCCAAAGCAATCTGCAGGAGATGGGGGGACTCAATACTAGCTGTATAAACTGCCCAGGTAATGTCTGAGTTCTCTACCAATTGCTCTCAATCGTTCTAGGTGGTCTCCTGTAGAAGGTGCTGCCAACATCTGCAGCTGCTGTGAAGGGCTCGGGGCTCCCAATACTAGCTGTATAAACTGCCCAGGTAATGTCTGAGTTCTCTACCAATTGCTCTCGATCTTTCTAGGTGGTCTCCTGTAGAAGGTGCTGCCAACATCTGTAGCTGCTGTGATACTGGAAACTGTGTTGGCTCACCTAGGAGGCTTGGACCAGCACAATCCAGAAGGGTTGGACCAGCACAATCCAGAAGACACTGGAAGAGACATCAAGCTGGTAAGTTTAATGGACATGTAGATTATGAAAGCTGCTGATGTGTAAATGCTGTTTACTGGCTTATCGTGTGTGTTCCATGTCGGTGATTCAAAACTCTGACAAAGTAGGGAGACTAAAATTGATTTAATTCACAACACTTCAGGCTTAACTTAACAAAGCCAGAGATGACTTGGTAATTGGCATTTCCAGAATTCAATTTTCCCAAGTGCCCTCATGATGATCTAAAGGTTTAACGGAACTCTCTTCTTTCTGCAGATGAGGCATCAGAGGTGACCAATGTACAGCTCCTGGGCCCCATTTGGATCATTGACCCCAAGAGTGTTCTCAATTCTGAGGGTGAACAGGCTCTTGCAGTGCATGCAGCTGAATCAGAACAAGAAGTGAAGCCCTGGATGGTGGCAGCTGTGGGAGGCCTGTGGGTGGTTGTAGTGATGGGGGCTGTGCTAACCTGGAAACTCAGATCAAGAAAATGTAATGTGACCACAATTCAGCAATAAACTTGTTTTTGCATAAGAGGTTTCCTTGTGTGTATTTTACTTGCTGGTCCTTGTGATAGAAATGCAACAACCTGCTGGGTATCCTCTACAGGAGATGTAAAAATGTTTTCCACACTTGCCAATGGCTACCACACTAGCTTTTGCTCTGTTAGCCCTGTGACTCTGTTCATGATCTGATGGCTGTCTGGACCTCATTCTAGCTAGGTTCTAGGGCTACACCCAAGTAATACACACGTAGTAGAACTTGGCTCTGGTTTTTACTAAGTCTGACATTGCTGGCTTGTCATTGCCTAAAAATGTGCCTGTTTAACCACCTCCCATCTGGTGCAGCGTGTTGAGTTGGGAAAAGATTGGATATTGTCAAATTCCAGTTGCTGTCTAGTTCCCCCTTCACTCCTGTGTGATCCACCAAAGGGATGGCTGCTAGAGTTTGCAGACAGCCTCATTCTAACCACTGACCAATGGTTTGCTACATCTTGCCTGCTTATAAGGAACTTGTCAGGATAGAAAAGCTGCTGTGATGGGACTTGTCAAGGTGCAGACTCCAGGCATGTGTCTCTGCTATGCAAGTAGTATCTAATCTAGAACAAGCCCAGCAGCCTTGAGAAGCCTACAATGCAGGTGATCAGGTTGGTGAAGGTAGCGCCTATCAACCGGTTCTCTGAATGCCATGTTTCTGCACTTTATCAAAGGTGTTGGGTAGCAAACATTTAGAACTGGTCTACTCAAATCTTCTGGAGGCTTTTCACTCAGTGGAAGATGGGAAATGTTGGAAGGTCTTCAATCAGCTGTTTAACAATGCTGTTGAGATTTCTTTCGGCTGATGCAGTTTTTAGCTGCAGAGGTTGTTGTGAGGTTAATTTAGCAACACGGGTAAAGCCTAATAGGACATGGCTCTTATTTAGCAGACCCCTAACCCGCCTTGTGTCACAGCAGAGGTCTTGCTGAATATCCGTTGGGGGTACTAATGTGGTTTCTTCTCTAACAGCTGTCACCTGATCCTGCTGTGACCTCTATGATGGTAAATGCTGATGCTTGGATTGTTTTGTAGATCACAGTAAGCATTCCATGTGACTTCCACAGCATTTGCCTAGGTCTGAACACCAAACTGTTGTGAAAAGTACAGTGCATGGACTACTTTTAATGGCCATCCGCTTCGGGTTAACATTTTGGATTTTCTTAACTTGGAGTAATCATCAAGCCAGAGTGAATAATTCTCCCCCATAGTGTCACATACTGACAATGGTCACCAGGACATAGAGGGGACAGATTGCGAATATTTGAAAACACATTAGAAGATGTTGCTCTGGATGTCGGTGCGCAAGACTAGGTACACTATGGACACAAATGTGGTCTCCTATTAAGCTTTTCATATAACACTTGTGTTGTATGCTGAGTGTGGAAACTTATGCTGCAAGGCTTCCAAAATGTGGTCCAGTTTCTACCACTAAAACATCAGGCCTTTGAAGTGACCTACAGTGTTGATGGAGACTTGGCTTGTGCAACCTGCAGGCCTGGGATCTCTTCCTGACTGGCCTTATGCAAAGTACCAAAGGCCAGACTATGATGGTGTACCTACTGAGCCTGATTTAGTTGGGCAGCTCAGGTGGGAGCTACAAGTCCAAGCAGAATAGTATGTCTCAGTGACTAGAGATGAGTGGATAATGGAAAATCCCCCAAGTGGAGTAAAAAGTGGTTCAGAGTTCACCCACTAGTTTACTATGGCACTGAGTGATGTGCTCTAAAGCTGTAGTTCCCAACTGGTAGGTCGCAATGTACTTTCCACTGGGCTAGGTGAAAGGCTACTCTGCATCCCGTGCCGAGCAGCCATTCAAAATATTCTGCCTGGCTCAATGTCAGCTTAAGGTGGGATGGAGGTATGGCTGCAAGGGAGCTCCATCATACATGCATTGCTTACATCTTCCTCGTGTGCTCTCTAGAGGTACCTGGACTGGATTGGCATCACATTCCTGGCACCTCCTACAGGGTGCAGAAGGGAGCTATACAAGCAATGCACATATGGATGGAACTCTGTCACAGCAGCCCACACTGGACCCCAGGCTGAGGATCCACTTCAGTTCTTGTAAGGTAGGGAGACTGGGTGGCTCTTGAAAGAGGAGAGAAAAATTAAATTCCTGATGCATAAGCCCCAGTGAGTTAAAAGAAGATATCTCTACTGGTTCTCAACAGGGGTGACCAGAGGTCATTCAGGTGCTCCAAGTGAATATGAAAGGCCTGTGTGCGCTCTGCTAATGAACTGGTATGTGATACCTCGGACTGTCTCATCTAGTCTTGGTTAAAGGTATTAATCACTTCCCTGTGAATCGTCATTGTGGGGCGAACTGGGTGGATCTGTTCATCCCTAGTTCTTTTGGCATGTGCTGAGCTGCAATAAGGTCCCGTGCTCTGGATGAATGGCACCCAATGAGATGGCTATTTGAGAGTCATTTACAAGCAAGCTGGATATGAGTTAGATGTGGAGACTTGTCTGGTCCCCTAAAGTTGGCCCAATCTGACTGTCTGGAGACATTTCTGCCAGCTGTATCCTCTCCTAATTTCCTTGTTCTCCATACAGTGCCCCATATTCTACCTGTGGCTGTATGAGTGATGTACACGGGGGGTAAACACTGCGCTCCCATCATGTGCCTTTATCCCTCTTACATCACACATTTTATTCTGCTTTTGCGGCTGCTGCCTGGCATTTCATGCATACCCCTTCATTGTAAGCAGCAATCCTAAAACTACAATAATAGATTGGGGTTGGCGGCTCTATTAGTAAGCGCTGATCTGGCCCCTTTATAAGGTCAGCAGTGTTGTCAGGGGCGTAACTAGAAATCACAGGGCCCCATAGCAAAATTTTGTATGGGGCCCCTTTGATTTCTAGTTACACCCATTGCAGAGCCCAATTGAGATCCCACACAGCCCACCTGAGGGTGACCCTGCAGAGCCCACCATAGACTATCTAAGGTGGGCTCTGCAGGGTCACCCTCAGGTGGGCTGGTCACACTCCTTACCTGTCCGCCTCCTCTTCCTCCACCATCGGTGATGAGCCCTGCCTCCTCTGTCGCCGGGCCCTGCCTCCACTGCTGGGTCCAGCCTGCTCCACCGCTGCTGCTGGCTCTCGCTGGCTCAGCGGCGTCTGTGGAGAGGAATGCGCCGCTGCACAGATCACTGGCAGTAATCTGAACAGCGACACATTTCTCTTCACAGCCGCCAGTGACAGCCAGCAGCGTGAGATGCCATAGTGACCCAGGCAGGCCCGCAGGGCATCAGGAATGTCCTGGCCGGGCCCCCCTTTACTCCGGGCCCCATAGCGGCCGCCTGATATGCCACTGAGTCATCATACAGGCATTAACAGCGGCAGCTGGTGACAACTGATGATCCAGTTGTGATCTGGGGCCCATTATTCCACATTTTCTCTATTAGAGGGTATCTATGGTCAAAAACTAAATATAAATATATACATCTATATTGAATTTCCATACATTCTATCCCACTCCTAATAACCACATCCATCTAGACTTCTCTAGATGTACTTATTGAAGATGCCCATAGGATGTACTTCCTCAACATACCAACACACCAACACAATTTCACTCAGCCCTGTGAATATGCCCTTCCTGGTGTCACCACTCTAAGCTTGCCGTCTGATCTACAGCTCAACGTCTGAACAATGTAACATTATCATTGCTTGCTGGAAGCAATGCATGGTGGGATATGTAGTCTTGAGAAATGGAGACTGTATCATATCAAGCAGCAGGGAAGGAGACACAAATCACACTGGGTATCCAGGAAGTTGCTGGAAGTATTAGGAAGGCAGCACTCGCTACATAAAGGGGATTATTTTTTTTTTTAAAGATGCTTTTTATTTTTCCAAGTGTCAGAGACACAATAAAATAACAAACAACCTTCATGCATACAGCAATCGGGTCATCATAACCCAGACAATTATGCAGTATCTATATCCTCTTCACAGATCAGAAAAACATAAGATTACAAGGATGCCGGGTGACACACCGCCTTGACTTCATCGCGCATGAGTGACGTGATGGACGCTGGTGGAGAGAGGAGGGGACCTTCACCTGGTGGGATAAGGTATGCTGCCGGGTCTTCTCCTCTCTCCTGCAACTGTCGGGCTCCCTGTCTATGACTGTCACTCATTTTGGTGTCACCCGTGTGCGGGCCGCACCCCCCTTGTGACGCCACTGGCTCCCGCTCTCCCCGCTTTCCTCGGCATTCCTGAGTTAAGGTGTGGACAGCTGAGTGTGCAGAGGTGTCCGTCTGTCATATCTGAGACATCTGCACTTAGTAAGCCCAATAATATAAATTTGCCATTTTTCCCAATTCTCTCTGCGTGAACTCCCACGTTATCCTCAGGCTGGAAGCCTCATCGTAGTTGTAGCCCGCTCCTTTGCTGACCCTACATTCTGCTTTAAATGGGGACAGAAGGGGAATAGCAATGCACTGCAATACACATATACAGAGCCAGCCATGCTTTATCGCAGCGTGTATTAAATTGCACCTTTGCGGACCATTGCAGCTCATTGCAATAACTCTTATAGTGTAAGCTCTCATGGGCAGGGCCCTCCTTACCATCTCACCTTGAATTGTATTGTAATGTCTTCCGTATATTATAAAGCGCTGTGCAAACTGTTGGCGCTATATAAATCCTGTATAATAATAATAATTAACATAAGTGGCGGTACTTTCGCTCTCAGCTGCTACCGTACACATGAAGTGTCCGCCATAGTAGAGTCTGGCGGCCAAACTCCCAGAGACCATAACAGTTAACATGCGGTATCTCACGCATTACTCTGTCGTCTTAAGGCAGCCCATTCCATCATTAACGCACCTCAATGGCCCAAAAAAAACCCCCAGCCATGACCCATTTGTGTAATGCAGCGCACCACAGGCATTTTGGGTGCCATTCTAAATAAAATGTGCCCCATGAAATGCTGCCTGTGGTAACGCAGGGAAAATGCACATTTCGCCATACATCACTGCAACACATAGGTGTGAATGGGGCCCTTAAGGTTGCAGAAGTTTGGTGCTGTCCCCTTTAAGTGCCTCCTGAGGAGAGTGGTGGTTAATTAGGACAGCTGGGGCAGATTGCGGTCAGTGGAGGGGGGTGGTCAGGATTCATCTGCACCAGGTGGGGTAATTGCTGCAGGAGATATAAATTCTCATAGGGCTGGATAGAGTTCATGTTGCTCTTCTGGTCACAATGGGTTGGAGGTGGCTCAGTGGTCTTGTTGGGGTGCTCATGGCCTGTGATCTTGTCCTATGCCAGTATCCCTGGTACCGCCAGCAGCCAGAATCTCTACGGCGGGGTCCCTACCAGCCTGGATGGGGTTCTGCCCGAGGACTTCCTGAGCTGTCTAGGCAGATGCCCAGTCCTTCCTTGAGGACCGTCAGTGTTGTGTGTCTGGAGGACAAGATGGAGGTGACCATTCTGAAGGATCTGTTTGGGATCAGGAAACTAGTCAAGGCGTCTGACCTCACCCTGGGCACTGCACAGTGCATGCCATCCTCTGAGGACAAGGACACCGTGGTCTTCCAGATCAACCTGCAGGACTGCGGGAATGTGGTTCAGGTCAGTCAGCTGATACAACATGGATAGTTATTCTGTAGTCTTAAGGTTCACCATATTTGTTACAACCTGATCATACAATCTCTACCACACTGACCATACAGGCAACATCTTCCTTCCACTGCAAGGGTCTGCCTGGATACAAATGGGCTAAACTAGGCAGAACCTCCTAGTGCACACAGACTGCACTTCTGGATTTATACCCAATCAGGCAGGCTCTTCTACTATACGCTTGTTGCTAGACATAAAGATTGTACAAACGAATTGTAACGTGTGCTAAACTCTAGACTTTTATCTACTGTGCATGAGGTTGTATCAGATTATAAAATGAACAGTTTGCTATGGAAAGTCATCACCCTAAAGAGATTGTACAATCTGATTTGTCGTGTGTGTGGTGAGCAATGAGGACCTACCTCCATTAGACAAACCCTTGCACTATAGATCTGTTGGTAGACCTAAAGATTGTACAATCACATTATAGTGTCTTGAACTCTAGGCTGCTCTTAATATGCAGTGAGGGAGTACCTGATTGAATGGATTGTTTGGTCAACACATTACATATTGGCTGGTAAATCTGAAGGGGATTGTACAACCAGATTGCAAGATGTATTACTATCATGGAGAATATGCTATACTGTAATCTCTCCTTGGAAATATGAGTAATAAATCTTGGGATCTCTCTAAAAGCCATTTAACTTGTATTTAACCAGACGGGACCTTCTAGCACCAGGATATCAAACCTTGGTACTCCATGCTGTGCTAAAACTGCAAATCCTATCATGCCTGTGGCTGGCCATCTTCCATTGCCTTATGGTACTTGTAGTTTTACAACGGTTGGACTGCCACGGATGCCTACCCCCTGATCTAGCATAAGATAGTTGGCTACATGTGGCATTGAGTGATTTCACTTCCTGTCCTGTAGATTAAACGGGAAGTGAGGCTATCTTTCCAATATGAGGAATATCGCCTTGAAGACAGTTGTCACACAAGAGCATATGTCCCCTTTTAGAATATACCCCTCTAATGCAGCTTTTCTGGCAATTCACAATGTTGGACTTCACTTTCATTCCTAGGTGGTTTTTTTTTTTTTTTTTTTAGTTTTTATTGCTGCCTTGGTCCCTGCTGGGGAGGCTTACCATTGATGTTGGGATAGAAAGTAATGGGGAAACTGTCATCATAGGGTGAAACCTTCCAAGGGGAACTCATGGAGGATAGAAGAGGACACTTGTGAGGGAACCCTTGTTGGTCACCAATGTAAGAGGGGTTTCATCCTCCCTCCCTTGCTGTCTTTTCTGGGACAGGAAGAGGCACGAAGTTCCAACTCTTCACTCCATCCCAAAGGTTTTGCCTGGACTTGTGTCCAGGCTGGTCACTCTGTCTCTAATATTTCAGGACTTCAGAACAAAGACACTTGCAGTTCAAATGTATCACTCCATTTGTGTGCTGATAGCATACATTGAAGTGCCATGGTGGCAGCAGGGAGGTGGACCTGGGAACTAGGATGAGGGACCAGCTACATAGACCACTTTATATCTAGACTATCTTTAGGTAGTGCCTACTGTAAATTGTTGGGTGTGTTGAGGAGTTCCCTCTTGGCCTCAGTGAAATAAGGATTGTCTCTTGCAGATGAACACTGACTTCCTTCTTTATACTACAAGCGTTGCCTACAAGCCATCTCCACCCAGGAACGTCCCAATCACCCGAACAAACAGTGCCAACATTGGTGTTCAGTGCTACTACCCCCGGTAAGTCTCCTAGTTGGGCCAATTCACAAAACGCATGCTTTAATCTTGCTTCAATTGTCGGGAACTGAATCATTTTAAAAGTCTCACTGCCTAAAAGATCAGCTACAAAGAAACTAATACAAGGCATGATGGGTCATGGAGTATCCAATACCTGGTTAGGCATGGGACCTTCAGCTTTTATATTACTTTCCTTATGGGATCACTTTCAAATTGGATGCCTGGTTGTTAAAACTGTTCCATCACTGTATAATGGAGGACATTTCTATTTTAGTTGGATAAAATGGGTGAAATGCATAGTTGCCATGTGCCACCTGCAGGTGGTGGCCACCAAGCAAATCTGGCACCTTCTGCAGCCATTGTAAATGCTCTAGGTCCACCTTCTCTTAATAATGGGAATCTTTGTTGCAGGTAGTGACAGGCTGCTCTGTTACACAAGCATGCTTTCCAAACTTGAGTCATGGGTGGTCCATTGGTATTTTGGTCAAACTCTATTTCTGTCTACTTCTGTTTTAGGCACGGCAATGTCAGCAGCAATGCAATCAAACCAACATGGATTCCCTACAGCACCACCGTAACCATGGAGGAGAGGTTGTCCTTTGCACTCTATCTGATGAATGGTAGTATTTCTATTGGTTCCTTCTCTAGACTGAACACTACAACTGTCAATCCAGTATAAGCTGTTGTCTTTGAGTTATGGATCCCTCAATCAGTCATCCTGATCCCTTCTGGAGGAGGCTTCTTGCATGTGGATCCCATGCAGGATACAATCTTTGACTGTGCCAACCTCCATTAGCATATTCTAGCCAAGCTAGTCTTAACCAGGAAAAGCTTCTACCACCACAACAGCACATTTTGTCTGGGAGATAAATGCATGAAGGTAACGCATTCTGACTTCTTCTATGGTTACCTGTTAATTTATGGTTGCATGTTAATTTTTAGTAGCTTTGCATACACCTGGCTTTCATTAAGACTTGGCTACTGAACTAGTTTAACATTTGATCACATGATGCAGGTTGGATACACCAGCTACTTGGCAGACAAATGTAGCCTTGGCTATGACAGACAGCAGCCTTTGTTGGCACAGCATAAGCATATCCTCAATTAGAAATTCTAGGCTGCATTTTCCAGGACCTTTTGCTGTCTTCCATATGTCCCCAGTAATCCAGCTTGACCATCTTGTAGACCTAACTTGGTAGGTAAGATTGTTTTAACTTCTAACCTAACATGGAGGTGTCTGTCTCTTGCAGAGGACTGGAGTGGTCAGAGTGCATCTACAATCTTCACTCTTGGTAGCTCCTTGAAAATTGAGGCCTCTGTCAATGTGGAGAACCACATGCCGATGAGGATCTTTGTGGACAGCTGTGTGGCACTGCTAGCTCCGGACCCCAATTCCACCCCTCAATATGAACTCATTAAAAATTATGGGTAAATATATTGTGTTCTGTGTTGGGATATTTCTAGGTCCAACTCTTGCATCTGCTTTTTACACTTCCAGGTTTCAGCAGGTCCAGAAGACCTTGGCAAAAAAGCTTCCAAAAGAGGGTTGGGAACATGGGTCTTCTGGGTGGGCTGTGGCCTTGAGCCTCAAAAAAGTCCCAGTGTATTGTGGTGCCTCACTCTTTAAAACCCTTTTTCCAACCTTCTAGGTGCCTGATGGATGGGCAGCAAGAGGATTCCTCCTCCACCTTCATATCACAGAGACCAGAGCCAAACAGACTGCGCTTTGAGATTGATGCCTTCAGGTTTACAGACTCCAACCAGCCCACGGTATGTAGCACTCTGTGTGTAATCTGATGGTGCCGAATGTGGCAATTGTGCTTAATTAATGTATTCCTTCTCAGATCTACATCTACTGTGAGTTGAAGGCCGTCCCACTCAACCAGGCCCCAGACCCAACTAACAAGGCCTGTTCCTTCAGCAAAACCAGCAACTCGTAAGTTACAAATGTATTCCTTACAGAATGTATTTTGGTTAACCTGGTGTGTACAGAATGTGCCTTCTACTAAGCAAAACTTGTGCAGGGAAACATCCTGATATTCTGAATATGCTACCTGCTGGGCACACTGATACAGACTAGCTTGCACAAAGTTGGGACAGCCTTGTTCTGGGGTCAGAAACTTGTACTGATGCCAAGATGGGGGTGGCAATGGTAGCTCACTACTGAGCTAATGTTTCCTTTTAAGAGGACTAATTGCCTATGGCAGTCAATAAGCCTTATCACTGTTCAGAGAAGATTGGCAAATGGAAGCCAATTGCCTGTATGGGCCCTTGGCCTATATGCCCACAAGCTGGGGGGTGAAGAGAACATCGTTTCTGCTCGGGTCCCTTTTTAGGGCCTTGGTTCTCAACTGGTGAGTCATGACCCTGTATTCAATGTGCCACCACATGCCTTCCATTTTTTTAGTTGAGAGGCTCCTTTGCCTCCCCCTAGCGCAGCACCATCAGTTCTCATGACAAGCAGCCATTCAAAATAAGTTGCCGAGTGTCAACTTGAGGTGGGGTGGAATGGGGCTTTTGCTGCAAGGGAGCTCCATCCATACATGCATTGCTTGCAGCTCCCTCATGGGTCTCCTGTAGGGGGGCCAGGACCGGAGATGGAGGTGGCAATGGTAGCTCACTACTGAGCTAATGTTTCATTTTAGAGGGGACTAATGTAACAATGTGAAGGCTTATTGACTAGAAGATTGGCAAATGGAAGCCAATGGCCTTTTTGGACCCTTGGCTTTCTGCCCACAACCTGGGGGGGTGGAGGGGATCATGTCTGCTCAGTTCCCATTGATGGGAGATATTACTTTTGCTGCCTGTCCTGGAGACACGACAGGAAAACTTTCCAAAGCTATCTGCAAAACTGTAGGAGATGGAGACTCCAAATACTAGCTGTGTAAATGGCCCAGGAAACTGAGTTCTCTACCAATTGCTCTCTTTCTAGGTGGTCTCCTGTAGAAGGTGCTGCCAACATCTGCAGCTGCTGTGATACTGGAAACTGTGTTGGCTCACCTAGGAGGCTTGGACCAGCACAATCTAGAAGGGTTGGGCCAGCACAATCCAGAAGACACTGGAAGAGACATCA